TTAAACTGGTTGGGGTTTTTTTTTTCCTTTCTCTGAAGTCTTTCTCGCTCGTGTCGTCACCAACCTGACAGCCCAGCAGATGGGCCCAGGGAAGGCACATTCCCACCTCCAGACGCTGGTGAGCCTGGCGGGAAGGTACCGCGGCCCGGTGAACGGCCGTCACTGCTGGTACGTCGGACATTTTGACACCTGCCGCGGTGCTCGCGGCCCCCGACATGTATTCCTGCAGGAGTTAACTACTGGAGACCCCACAGAGGGCTCCTCCTCTTACCTCCTCATCCTCACATGGCTGGTGAGGTACTGCAGGTTATTGCTGCTCTTGCAAACTACGAAAATAGAAGAAGCCGTGAGGAAAAGTAGGGCAATCGCTTTTGAATCGGTCAGGAAGGCCACCGTTTGACTATTACCATGGTTATAACCAGCGTTATTACTATTGAAGGCTCAACCACATGAAGAGGGTGGTGGTTTGGAGATGCTCACCGGCTGGGCTTGCCAGCTGTTAAGGCAAGGCTGGTCAGTGGAGCAGACGTGTTGCTTCGAGGCAGCGGAGTCTATAACCTGTAAAGGGTCTTTAAGGAAAGACTGCAAAGCTTGTGTCTGACTCTGTGCTATTTTCCCCCTGCTGGGTATTGTAAATAGCATGGTTTTCAATAGAGCAGCAAGACTGTTTTCTGCAGCCTTTCCTCTTTATCATTTAGCCACAACTTGTTACCCACAATGACAGGCTTCCCATGTTTATTAAAAACATACAGAAATGAATTTATACCGTGAATGCATGTTCATTTAAACATTGTTAAAGATCCAGCTTTAACCCATAACAGCCAGGAAAATTTGAATTTTAACCAACCTGCCTCACCCAGATAGCGTTTCTCAGTGCAGTAGGGATTTTCTTCCCACATGGTCTGTTACTATCATTGCACTATAGCAAGATCTCTGTTTCTTTGTCACATACTCTTTTAGCAAGCAACAGAATGGCTGTACCATCACACTGGTTACATTCCAGAGGATACTGGCTCTGAAAAATCAGCATGCTGTG